TCTTGTTTTAAAGAAGACATTTTCCAGATTATTGTAGAAGTCCAGAAATTGTAAAAAATGAAACAGAAAAAAAGTTCTATAAGTTTGAGTTTATGAAATTGTGTAATGTAAAAATATAATGATTAATATTTTATATAAAATATATATATATTACAAAATATATTTTACTCTAAAACTGCAAGAAAAATAAAGTCAAATATCTGAACAAGTTGTATTCCAAATTTTAGGTTGATATCTCAAAAAATGAGCTTTCAGTAAGATTTTATTCGGGCGCAGTACCCAACTTTTTCACTAGGTGAACACCAGACTCCATTACTGCCCATATAAGGGCGCCTCCATTTTCATATGTTTTGAGTGATCTGAACCATGTATTTCCATAATTTTCATACAATTTATGAAGTAGACATCCTATTCAGAAGTAGTAGGGGTGGTTTGGCAGTATTTGATTTGAATTAAACCTCTAATAAATGCATAAAGACTACGTTATAGCGTTATAGCTCGCAGCCGCATTACAAATCGAGAATCCATACATTTTTCTTTATATTTAAAACATTTTCAGACCTTTTTTTCTCATAAAATGGAATTGGTGTTATCTTTTGAACTCATGGCATGAAAACAAACTGAGGTTTCTACCAATCTTTCATGATTTTTCATGTTTATTGTTATTTCAAAATAAAGGCCTAAATACTCGTAATGAATATGAAATATTCTTGTTGCAAATTGATAAATTTCTGCTCCTCTGTAATATATTTTAGATAACAGCCACCAAATATGAAAACTAGAGATTTTAAGCTTTCAAATGATATATAGTTTGGCAATATTACTTTAGGTTTTTACTAAGATATTATTGTTTTAAACATGCAATGGCAAATGGGCCCGCCGGCGGCAGTTGCGTTTAACTTTGCATGTGAATGGGAGAGCAACCGGTCCGAGAGCGCAGTGAAGTAAGTTTTAGGTTTGATATTCGCCTCATTTTATAAAGGGACCATCTGCAAACTCCACTCACAGTCAAAAAAATATAAACGTCCAGTCATTCATTCAAATGAACATATTTCCAAGGTTATATTATAACCTTGGAAGTCTAGTGGGCAGACTGACTTAGCCTGTTACTGTACTATGTCCAGCCAATATCTCGATTGAACAGTAGCCTACTATTGTTTAATTTACTGTAAATTGTTTTTCTATTCATGTTCCAAAGGTTGTAGTACGTTCCTAGTGACAAGTCAGGTGAAATTTTACATTATTCACTTGTAGTAAGTCACCAAAAACCCGTTTGGTTAATTACAGTAATTTTTTTATAAAATAATAATTGTTTACTAAATAGGCTATGAAGGGAGTTATTGGGGCAATTTCACCTGTAGTAAGCCAGTCTAGTCACTGAACATACTACAACCATTTTGAACATGAAAAAACCCTTTTGGTGAATTACAGTATTTTTCTGCAGAATACAGGCTACATGAAGGGAAGTATTGTCCAAATTTTACTTGTAAGTCAGTCTTACAGAAACCTTCTACGAGCTTTGGAATTTGAAAATGTCTGTTATTAAATTTAAAAAGTAATTTGAATTAAAACAAATTATACGTTTTAACCACTGATCTATATAGAATGACATTATAGATCAGTGGTTTTAACGCAGTTAGTGGAATTGGCAGACGTTCCCTTGTGCATCATGAGCTGTGGTTAGCGCGTCAAAGCATTCTCGTGTAGAAATATGCAGCTACAGGCCCGCTACGCCAGTTGATTTTCAATTAATATTTCATGTCGATATACAATGGTTGCATATTGTTAAAACTCATCGTGCTATAGTAAGACTATAGGCTATGGCTTAAGGGTCAAGGGAAAACAAATGTACTGCGAAAATCGTCTTTAATATTTAAAAACAGACATTTTCAAATTCCTGCTTGTATACTATGTACACAATGTGTTGTCAGATAAAAATAAGCATATAATATGAACACAACTGCGAAATTTCACCTTTTTTTTAACAGGAAGGAAAATTGTATTAACTTGAAACGCCGTGCGTTGCGTTCATGTAGTCTCTTGTCTGTAGGCTATATAGTTTTCCTCCCATAGAGCATATTATAAAAGAAAAAGCTTAACGTCAATGCAGTAAGACGGTGATATTTAAACTCAGTAGCCAATACACCTTACTGAACATGCAACGCGCGATTGCACGTTAAGCGTTTTATTATGGTTTTCTATGGGTGTTGTTCATAATCTGACGTAATGTTTGCCTCTATAAAGTATGCTTTATTAATAGGGTAGGCCTATATTATTGTGTACTAAATTTGGTGCTTCAATATCACTCTCATTAAGCGTCTTAAATGCGGAAGAACGCTTGATTATGCTGCCGTTGTCTGTTTTAGCAGAATACTGCCATCTAGTGGTAGCAGCTTTTCTCAGACAGCTGTGTGTGGATCGTGCAAGGCGAAAACCGCGAAATGAAAGTCTCAAAATCCAAATGAATCAAATAGGATCGACTCAATGAATCGAGTCAATGAATGCACGCGCGTCACCTGATCCACACATGCACGTCTTCTGTGTTGCATGTGCAAATTATGATACACTAATACAAAGGAAAACATTTGTATTCACAAAAATGTCTCTATTTGTACAAATTGCTTCACATTCATTCAATTTTGAATTTTGCACACACAAGTTGAAAGGCATGGATAAAACATTTCTGCAACATGTATCAAGTTCATTGATAAGTGTGCTTGCACTTGTTAATCATTTTGATACTAAAATCATCCCATAGGAAGCTGCTCGTCTAGAAGATTCTCGAAGATAGTCAGAGAATAGGCTGCAGGAGTGAAGAGAACTTCTTGGCTCCGAAGCGAAAACATATCTGCATATTGTGGCGTCCTTTCTTTTATACCCACGCGGTGGGGCGGAGTTACGCCATGCATTTTCCGCAGATCCATGGCATTTCCTTGCCAGTGGCTCGTTTTATTTCTTTCGAAGATGAGAGGCTTCTAAGCGAACCCCATTTCGTTGTCATTCGACGTAACTCGAAGTGACAACGAAAGGGAACTTAAATTACATCCAGTTTATTAGCAACACAGTGCACAGGTGTGAATCCCGCGATATCAGTCTTTGATCTCACAGGTGTCAGATCCACTGCGAGAAGAGAGATCTGTCCATCTTGCCTTTTTTCACTCCTCCTCTCACTGCAGCCGCCTACTCTCGCATACATCTCAAACAAGCCTAATGTCTTAGTTTCCCACCAGTCACCAGTTGTCATGGACACTCATCTAATCATCACACCTGTTCGTTATCATCTCATTATCACTGTGTATTTAAGTTGCTCTGTTTCAAAAAGAGCTCTGTTTCACCCTTCAGTTGTCGGTTGATGTTCTTGTGTGTTTAGACACACTGTCACTTTGTCTTCATTGTTGTGGATTACAACAATGTTTTCGAGTTTGTTTTCATTAAAGAACCCTTTTGTTCATTGAAACCCTTTTGAACTCCTCTTCATCTTGTGACAGAACAACCTACTAGTGATGGGAAGTTCTGATCATTTTACTGACTTTCTCGTTTCATCAAAATGAACGAATCTTTATTCAAGTCATTTTGTTAATTTACTGTAAGTGGCTTTAAATGCTGTATTTTAACAGCCAAATTCCTCGAACACATCCACCTACACAATTTTGATGAAGAAATCATTATAATGCAGCCAAAGATAATTTACAGGGAACATAAATAATAAATTATCTTAAAAGGTCTATCCAATTTTGTCTCTAATATTCAAATCTGGAGTAGTGACGAAATCTATTTCTATCAATCAAAATTCAAAAACAAAATAAAAACGCACACAAACACACTTAGTGAGATTTTTGAGGATGAACAGATGCGCAATCAAACACAGACTTGATATATTTCTGATTCTTTATTTAACGTTACTTTATAAATAAAGGGAGGGTTAAAGATCAGTACACCTGGCCACTTCAGAATATCCTGTGCATTATGAAAAGTGTAGCACCATTTTCGAGACAAATCCAGCGCTGACAGGGAGAATACTTGACCGAATGTTTATTCAGCACTATTTCAGAAACAGTACATACAGGAAGAGTCTATGAGACACGAAACAATGAACATTATTAAGACTCATGAGAAACATCACATAAATAAAAATCAGCTGAATAAACTCCATTTCACTCTTTCAGAATTCCTGGTTTATCATTTCCCACATTTTCCCTCTTACACTTTCACGTTTCCTTCCTTTTTTTCCACCAGTTTCACACCCTTTATGCTCCCAGTGACTGTTTGTCCTAGATTTCTGCTTGTCTGTTATTTAAAGATTAATCCTACCTTTGGTAATTACATGAGACCTTTCTAAAATAACATCAAAATTGCACACATAATGACGCAGACAACTTTTACAGGCTGTTTTAACACACATACTGCAGTGCAACATCAGAGGGCATACAATCCAAGCTTCATATATGCTTAGAATCTATTCCCTATAGTCCACAAAATTGTGTTTTTAGTCTTCTTTTAATGCGTGTTCCTAATTAAGAGCTAAATAACTTCTCAAATAAATCTAATTTAATATTAGGTAAATGTTCATGTATTAAAATGAAATAACATTTATTAAAATTCTTATAACACAAAAAGGAATCCTATATACAAATTCCTGGTACAAAGTAAATAACCAATATATAATGCAACACAAGGACCACAATACACATAAACATCCACAAATAGACAGCACATCACTGAGGTTGAACATTGATCTCAACAAAACCATGGATAGGCCTTTTCACTGTAGCACAAAGACTAATGTCACGCATCAAATGCTGGATAGCACACAAACAACCCATTGTGTGAGATACATCTGAGACGAATTCAGAATTATAAGATCATGGGTTTTGGAGAAATATTCTATCTAGTTCTGTCAATTAAGGCTAATATCAAACCTTTTGGTTAATCTCCATTGCTGAGGGATGTTGATCCCTTTTTGCTCTTGGAACATTTTCGAATTGGTCACTTCAACTAAATTTTGGAGGGAGACTTTCAGAATAGCAACTAGACGTATCACATCACCTGACCATTGACGGTTATTGCAGCAGTTTTGCACACATACAGTCAACACATGCTTATGAAACCCTGCAGGAATGTAAAAACAGATACTTGGATTGTATCTCTATCTAGGAAGCGAAGATGGCCAATGTTAGTCTGTTAAACTCGCTGCGACTTGTGAATTTATAGGGCAGAGATCCTCCCGCTCAGGTTTTTGCTTTTCGTCCTTTTCACTCTCTTCCATCTTAGTGTTTTTCTGGTCGGCGAAGGGCTCAGAAGATGGTGCTCCAGCGTTTGGGTGGAGAGCGAGATCGGCTTTCTCCCTGAGATCGGAGAGAAAACCAGTATGGTCATCAACATATCAGATGTGTGACACAAAATCGCCTCGACACTGATGGATTATGCAAGGTCAAAATCAACGTTGCATCACCGTTAGTTCTAAAACATATTACAAAAGAATAAATGCTGAAGCGTGCAATGAAATAGCACTTAGCATCAGCAGGGTGGGTGAAGGACTGAATGTTCAATGTCACAACTGGAGTCTTTAATAACAAAATGACATAATGTTGAGTCATCCACGTTGTAGGAGCATTACCCAGCCATAACAATATGCTACATTTCTAAAAGAGTGATCTGAGCACTCAGCGATCTCTAGCTCTACAGCAAAATGGAGGTGGAGAGCCAGCCTGATTTGATTGTGTCCTCTGTTCAGGAGAGATTGTCATGTGAAAAGTACAAAAGGGAGAAAAGGAAATTAGCCAAGAGAGCAGATGAGGTAGATATTTGAGCTGAACGTGAGCATCATGCTTGGATGTTTAAAGTGATCAAAATAGTGTTCAAAAATGGACCAAATACTTGCCAATATGTACATTTATATTACTGTATCTACAACTGGTCAAATGTTTGGGGTCATTTTGATTAATTTATTTTTTAAGAAATGAATTCTTGTATTCAGCAAGAATGCATTAAATTGATCTAAAGGTACATCTATAATGTTACAAAAGATTTCTGTTTCAAATAAATGTTGAATTTTCTTTGTTAAAAAAATAATGTCCCATGCAGTTTCCACCAAAATATTGAGCAGCACAACTGTTTTCAACATTAATAATAAGAAATGTTTCTCGAGCACCAAATCAGCATTTTAGAATGATTTCTGATAGATCATGTGACACTGAAGACTGGAGTAATATGTTATTTTAGATTTAGATTATATTTCAAAAAACTACTGTATTTACTTTTCTTTATGCTAATGTCATTCCAAGCCTGTATGACTTTTTCATAACCTATTTTCATTGTTTCATGGACGAAAGGAAGTCATACAGGTTTGAAAAGTCATGAGGATGAGTAAATTACAAAATTGTCCTTTTAATGCGAACGATTCTTTGAGAATCAGGTGATATTTCTTAATCCACTGAAAATCAAATCTTATTGAGGATCAATGAACATGAAGAGATGTGAATACTTTTATGCATTGCACCTGGCAAAAGTCCACAATGCTTATGTTATTTATGAGGCTCTCAATGACTACCTGAATAAGCAAGGTTATGGTGCATGGTAAGACTCAACTTTCCATAGTCCAGAATAGACGTGCCTTCTTTATAACCTGAATAAATATTGATTTTGAAAAGCTTAAGTGAATGGAAGACTGAACAGCCCTCACTGACAGTTTTGGTGTCATTACTTTGGTGAAAGATGGATAATATTGGACTGGCATATCGAGGGTGACTCTGGGACAGAAACAGAAGAAGTCAATTAGTCTCATCAAGAACATTATCATTTACTTTTTCTCATGCTTCTTCTAGGACAGAGAGTGAGTTCTAGATGTTTTCAAAGCAATAATCTATGCTCCATCCTGTTTTTGAGCATTTTAATAGCCTTAATTACATCTCGATGTTGAAATTGCTTTCTTTGCATTTGCATGTAATTGCGCTTAAATGAGAATAACCTCTTTTAAATAGCTAAAAAAGAGATCTAAACTTTATATTTTCTCAGAGGATCGAACACTGATTTCTTTTTTCTGCAGTTTTAGGCTCACCAGGTTGAAGATTCTGGAGAGTGTATTCTGTTCTCTTCTGCGTCTGTGAGGCGATCTAATGCTCTCCGAGCCACGCGCTGACGGGGAAGCCTAAAACACATAGTTTATGAACACAAAAAGGATACCTGCCCAGTGTTGTTTAATGATAAACTATATGAAAATATTTATTTGTCATATTATGTCAAACTGTGTTTTAAAACAATGTATGACATGATGCTCAGTGATGAACATACAGATTGTGTTCAGCGTGATATATTAAAGGTGAAGTGTGTGCATGTTTAGTTTTTTTTTTATCTGGAAAAAATGTCCTCCTATACCAGCTTAATAGCAGAAATAACTATAGGCAAGACAGGCTGATTTATCTGAAAAGCATAAATGGCATGTTTCTATCAAAATGTTTGAAAAAACTTTGTTATTTGTTAAAAAATTATGTTATTTGAAAACATTGCTTTTTTTTTTTCAATTTCATTTGATGGCACAAAAATTACACACTTCACCTTTAAGGAAGTCTCAGAAATGTCCATGAACAACTGTTCATAATAGGTTCCTGTGTTCATAATTGCAATATAGGTTTTCTTTCTTTTTTTTTTGTTGATTGATGCTGCATTTCTGCACCAATGTCTACAAATAAAGAGTGCAATAGCAGACTGCAGCACAGAGGATGTTTGCCACATATCAAGTATTATGGGGTGATTTAGAGTGCAGCAAATGGACAATCATAACATGGGTTATTTACATATTTTGATCTACCATAGGAAATGTTGTGCACAAAACAACATTTTTGCCAGCCAAAGAAACGTTGTTTTTTGTGTGTGTGTGTGTGTGTCAGTTATTAATGTCCAAATGCATCCAATGCTGCATGTCTGCTTTTTGCATGCCTTTATGTATTGGAGCCTGTGGAGTTAAACACGTGACTTAAACACAGGGGGCACTGGTGAGTCAGTGAATCAGGACCTGGGAGGGGAGTAGATGGGTTGGAGAGGAATATGAGTTTATGGGGGGAGTGAACAGTTTGAAGACCCCTAGAGAGAAAGCGGTTTTACCGGCTGCGACTCAGAAAAAGTCTCGCTGTCTCAAAGTCATCAAGAAGCAGAGAGTCGCTCTGGGTCAGGAGAAAAGCCATCATCAAAGAAAGAGCGCAACAATCAAGACAAAAAAAAATATATACAGTAGAAAGAAAAGAAAGAAATAAAGAAAGAAAGAAAGAAACTGAAAAATAATCATATAATCAGTTCAGTGCCTGAGATCACTCTTTTATAGTACAGCTGAAAGCTGTGGAAATTCATAATCACATGATAGATTAGGATAAAATTACAACAGATCTATTAAGTAATGGCTATTTCATGCATTTTGGCATGAGAGTGTGCCTTAATAAGAGAAATAATGATAATAAAATAATTTAGTGTGGCTAAATTGAAACCACAGTGCAGTAATGCTTATTAAACTCCACCAAGAAACAGGCTTAAATTTGGCCCTCAAAAACACTAAAAATGTGATCAATCAGGAGCTTTGTGGAAAATGAACCCACTCAACCTTATAAAACATCTTATCCCACAGGTTAACGAGAAGATCGCATGAAGCGCAGCGAAAAGTTCAGCAGCTGTAATTAGAGCGATGCATTGGTTAATTCACAAAGAGGAGAACAAATGATAAAGAAACGCGACAGATCTATTAGAAATGAGACACGAGACAGGAAGGCTTCCAGCAATCAGCCAATCAGATCTGTTTATGAGGGTGTCTGTGAATGCAAATGTGAATCACGTCAAGGATGAGTGACGTACCAGGCCCAATAGTTCTCTCCACTGCAAATGAAAAAAAAAAAAGAAAGAATGTAGAATGATTCATTTTTTTCTTAGAGGTAATTATAATTTCATTGCTGGATATGAGAGGGCATTGAAAATAATCGTGGGTCAAACCTATTCTATCATCTAGGATGGCCTAATAGAGTGTTATGAATATCACAGAGTTGCTCTGTTACTATTTATACCATGAGCACTACACATTTAACTATAAATGATTGCAAATCAATATACCAAGAGCATTAAAAAAAGGGATTAGATACATGCCAAGAGAAAAATGTGAGACTTACCCTTGACTTGGGACGAGGAGAGGACACCTTTCAAGAAACAAATTGAAAGTTTTAGTCAGAGAGCATTTTATGTATTCAAAAAGCACAGCCACAGCTTTTAATGAAGAGGCCTGAGCATTATAACGAGACACTGCATTATCCAGTGTAATATAAACAAGATAAGTTCAGTTCAGGTGAATAATGAAGGCAGAGCCTGTATCTTTTTAATGAACAAGTCCACACAACTGAGGAACAACGGTGCAATTACCGTTTCCCAGAAAAACTTTTTTAATTTAGGACATTAGTAATGAGGAAACGTTAACAGTTATAGTTTCCGCAGAACAGGTTTTGTGTTCTTCAGGGGAAAATTCAAGAAACTGAGTATGATATAAGAGTACATGCTGGTTCGAGTTTAAGTCATGTCACCTGAATGGGGAATTTCATATTTCCACATCACATCATGATTTTTTTTTTTTTTTAAATGTGAAGAAGGTGATGGTAAAGAGAACAATCACTTCAAGTAAAACATCTTTGCTCTGTCCGGTAAAAGTTTCCGAACAAGAGTATATTCTCGCTTTTTAATCTGAAACAGTGACTTTCAAAGAGTGACTCATTCTTTAGGGTGTAAAAAACAACAACAACAACAACAAAAAAAAACATGAAATTTACGGTATAAAAACTGACAGCTGTGGTAGCAACATTTTAGGTTTTACTTATTTAACTTAAATTTACAGTAAATAAACGTATTTAATTAACTGATATAATGTTATACCAACCTATACTAATATCTGTTTTGTACCTTTGTAATACACTGACAAGCACCAAAACCAGGTGGTGAGAAAGCAACATGATGAACCAAAGCTCATCACAAGCAGCTTTGCCACAAGCTGAGAATGTAATTACTAATATATAAAAGGTGCACAGTTTCATTCACACAAATACTAAACACCATGGTAACACACGACACTAAAGTGATGCATAAACATTATTTTATCAACAGGAGATGTAACACAAAACAGATTAGAAAAAACTATGAAACAGTTATTTTAACGGAAATTACTGTTACCAATTAACAGGTTTTTACTGTGACATTTTTACAGTAAAACCATGATAATTTTTTTTACAGTGTACATAGCAGAGAATCGTCCCCGCTTTATGAAGTGTCTTTAACTGCTATGCACTAACATTTAAATTAATTATTTAATACAATGTACTTTGTGTACGTACATATTTTAACATTAATTATACAGGCATGTAATTACAGCTGTAATTAATTTCTGTAATTACATCTATAATTACACTGTTGACCCTTCCCTTACACTTCAACCCAACCTTAAATCTATCCAAACCACCCGTATCCCACCTCAATACCAGAAAAGGTGTTTTGCAATACAATATGAACACAATAAGTACATTGTACTTATTTTTGATGTAAGTACATACTGTAGTAGTTAAGAACTCTTAATATAAAGTGTGACCAGAGAATCTAACACTAGTGATGCAAGTGTGTGTAATGTCGTCTGTCTGACAGAAAAACAAGTCTGGACTATTGTAGCAAAGAAAACATGGGCTGCATGTTGAACATGACGACAAACTTGGCCTGCGAACTTAGACGGTGAACGGCCAGACACAATGTGGCATGTCTAGGACGAAAGCTGTCTGGAAGATGCCTTTTGTTTGGGTTGCCTTATTGATTTTTTTGGTTTGCTCTTAAGTAGTCTTTATCAACTGTATATACTTTTTCTTCTAATATATTTGACTGGATTCGTTGAATGAGGTTATGTTTTCGTGCTGCTCGGTGCTTCGAAAACGGTAACAACCTCTTTGGATCAGTGGGAGCTAAAGATGAGAACATAGGGAGGTGTGAAAATATCATTCTCATGTCTCGAGATGAAATGATTTCTTTTCTGGGAATTGATTCTATTGTTAGTTTCACATGACTCTTTGAAGTTTGGGACTTGTAAAAATCCATGCCAGCACATAATAGCCACGTTTCCACCGAAATTACCCGGAACAATTTGTCCCAGGAACTATTTTTCCTCCAGACCTTTTGCTGTTTGTGTTTCGATCGTGGTCTAAGGTACCGTGAAGATTAGGCAAATTAGTCCAGTGACGTAGGACTGTGTGTGACTTTCCAGTTTCCGCTGGATTTCATCCTCCGCAAATAAGCTTAATAAAGCCTGAACCTCGTCGTGGAGTCAACCAATCAAAATGCTGCGTGAACTCAACAGATCAGCATGTTCAGAACCCAAATCCCACCCCGGAAAGGTCCTGAACTTTGAAAAAGTACTACCTCGTGAGCAGGGACTTTCTGAGGGGGGGATTTTTACCCGGAACTTAATTTAGACCCTGATCCCTGAGGTCGAAACAGTCCGAGTACCAACCCAATGTCCCTATAGTTCCTGGGGAAAGTTCCTGCAGTGGAAACACTGATAGATACTGTACTTACAAAGCTCCTGAAGAAATGCACCACAGGGTTGACATCTCCACGACGACGGGTGGAAGAGTGGTGAGGTCTCTGTGGAGAGGAGGATAGATGACCACGAAATGAGCCCTTCAAATAAATGAAAGAGAAATGCCCAGAGTCAAGGTGTAACATGCATTATGACGACAACTTCTTGGACTGGAAATTCAACCTATAAAGTTTAAAAAAAATTACGGTAACACTTTATTTAATTGGTCTCCTTTAGACATCCTGTTGACTATAAGGAATGTTGCACCTACAATTCAACTACCAGTCATTAGAGTATTAGACTGTCTGCTTAATATCTGATAACACTTTATTTTGATTGGCCCCAAAAGACATTCTACTGACTATAAGTCAGACTATAATGTCCACTTATGCTACTGACCTGAACCCTAACACTGTAAAAAATGAATTGTTAAAAAAGAAAGTAACCTGGTTGCCTGAAAATGTGAAGTTCATTGAAAAAAAAAAAAGAGTTAAAACAAACTCAAAATATTATGTTCTCTGAACCACATTAATAGTATAAGTTGATTTGACAAAATAAAAAAAAGTTGTGATAAAACTTTTTTTTACAGTGCAACCCTAACAGTCTACTAATACTCAACTACTCTAATGAGAGTTAGTTGACATAGGTGCAACATTATAGAACAATTTAATTTATAAATAAGACAATAGAATGTCTAAAGGTGATCATCAAAATAAAGTGAAACCAATTTAATTACATTCCCAATCCAAATTTTACATTTCTGTGACAAAAGCTAGCCACGAGAAAAAACATAGAAGAGACAAAACTGGAAATAAAAATATCATGCTAATCTAAATGTATCTATGCATATAAATTGACATTCTTTGAACATTAAAATGAGCATTCAACAAGGAGGTATGAGTGTCAATAGATAAAGCTCTGCCTAGAGGAACTGAATCGCACTTTACTGCCAGAAAAGAAAACCCCTATCATATCTCTTGCACTGCAAACAACTGTGTCCAAAGATTCTTAATGTTGTGAGGATTCATTGTTTCACCCCCCATTTGAGCCCTTTTGCTTTGATCAATTGCTGCTAAAGAAGTCAAAAAATAATTCTTGTTATCGTTATCAGTTGCTGAAGCAGCATGTACAGAGTTTGATAATTCAATTTAGAAAAAGATAGATTCAGCTATTTGTTCAGGATTTAAGACCAAATTCTTTGTTTAAATGCCCTGTAAAATAAGACTAACAGAATTTTCTTATTTGGTAATATGACTGGTTTATGAAATGCTCTGAGAAAAAAAAAATCCATATATGACATTTCACTGATATATAACTGATTTATCTTTAGAAATTGTACATTATTTATTGATATAGACAGTATTGGGTGGCAAATAAACAGAACACCAAATAGTAGGATTTAAATTATGAGCGTTAACATAATACTTTGGCAAACTGCATGCATAATGCTGCAGAATTCAACCAATGCAGAGAATAGGTGAATTATGTAATTCAGTAATACAAGCTAAAATTAGATGAGAAGAGGCAGCCTATTTGCAGTACAGATGAATTTGAACTCCACACTCCATAAACAACCTCTCTAGACCCAAGAGTATTCCATCCCAATGAATTCAACACAAATGCAATCACCACTGAGTCATAAACTATGTTCGAATTCAGCTCTTTATCTGGAACCAGTATTTAACCCAAAGAATTGAGCAAGAAGTTGTCGTTGACCATGACAATGTTTGAAATGAAAACGACTCACTTTTCCCTTTTTCTTTTTGTCTCCTCCAAAGAACCTGCCAATCTGATCCAGGAGACCGGGGGCCTTCTTCTTCCTGCCCAGCCCGAATGGGCTTTGTCCAGAGGTGCTTGCAGTGGCCATTCTAGGTGTTGATCTGTTTGGTGGTCTACAGTCTGGGCGGCCCACGAATGTCCTTCTCAACTCAATCCAAATTCCGCTCTGGGGACACTCTGCAAACCTTCTCGATAGTCTTCGGCGCTTCTAAGGAAGAAGGGCTGGCCTTTGAAGGTGTCGTCCCCTCCGTTGCATGGCATCACGGGAGATGAGGTGGGTCTGTAATAGCGTCAGTGATTCTGGGCTGGTGCCAGGCATTCTTTCGAGCCCTATGTGCCCGTGGAGGGTGTCACTACCCTGCTCTCTGATAAAAGGAGCTGCTATTGTTCTAGTCCACATCTGCCTCGACTTGGGTCAAGCACAACAAGGCCTGTCTATGAGAAAGAACCAGAGCGCAGTGAAGAACGGCTTCGGCACAATCAAACCATTGTTGTGATGACTCATGTTCATTATACAAATAGTTTACATTGAGAAATGACATATGGTATACTGCAATGTATAGGGTTTGGAATTGTTAGCTGCAGACACATGTTGCCACGTTCCATCCATGCAATATGATAAAGCACGTCTCCAGACATTTAAGAAACACAGACACACCCTGATGATGTCATGCTACCGTTGAAGCAACACGCCTTCTTTTATTTCGAAATGCTGTGAACTAGTTCTTGGACTGATTTCTTGAAGTAAGTGTTGTAATTTGTGCAACCTGACCTCGCTGGTGCAATCTGCACTCGCCCACTCATTCCCTCCACGTCTTGAAATATTTACAAATTAATTTTCAATGACTTTGCAAGTCATTAACCAACCGCTGTGTGTGATACTCAGCATGGTTCCCTCCGTGCTTTTCAGAGAAACATTATGATCACACAGAAAAATCTGTCTCTGTTGAGGGTGAAGTGCTGCTAAAAATGCTGTTGGCTTTAGCGTGCTGTTTTTTTCCAACTTTCTTTCAAACAATTGGCAGTTGTTTTTGCTGCGAGTTTGGCCAGAGAACAAAGGGCACAGTGTTTTGTAGTAAAAAAATATGCTGCTTTTATTTATTCATTCATTTTTTAAAATGTATTCTCTTTTGTTGTTGGTGTACTATCTGTTGCAAAAACTGACATTTCTGATTATATAAACGAATTAGGCTTTTCCTTCGCTATGATCACCCAGATGTGAGGCTGCAATTTCCGTTGCCCTCAAAATGTTTTCCACACAGTCATTAGTAGAGGAAATTCATTCAAATATGCATAAGCTAAAATAATGAGGCATATGTGAAATAGCTCAGGAAAACAACACAGCGTAGGCAAAAATGTTGCACTGACTTTGTTCACACATCTAGTCAATTTCATATTCCATCAAATCTAGGCCTGCAGTAATTTTAAAAGGATGACGTGTGACTCAAAATGGAAAGCTGAGGCTGGATAAAGCTAAATGTTGTAAAAGCATCTCATGTATTTAAAATAAAATGTTCAAATATCTTTACTCTTTATGATTTCTCTTTCTAAAATGTAGTTATAGACTGTTTATTTGCTTATTTCTTCCTTATACTGCATATTAAAATATAAGTATATTTTGAGTAATGAAAAATCTATTTAAATGCACTATGTGCCAATGACATAAATTGATTTTAACACATATCCTCTATAGCATAGACATTGCAGAGCATTACAACAACACATGTTGGCTCAAAATTGAAGATGAAATAATGCAGGACACGTGGCCAAAGACTATTGTACACATTATGTGTTGGTGATGAATGATACAAATTTAACATTTTTAGTATTATTCAAATTGAACATTGAAATAGATCATCTGTAGGACCCTGAAAAGAATCTGTGCTATACAGTTATAAGCATACGTGAGTGGAATTAAACACAAACCAATTTCCACATATGTTTTCAGTTGTTTATCACTGTATATTCAGTGCATACATTTGTGTGCTTATACTGTGAGCTGTTGAGGACACATCGAGGATTTGCAGAAGTGCACAGCATCCACTGAAAACATGCCCTTCACAAAGTCTATGCACATATTCAACTAAGTTAGCCTGACCTCTCAATCTCAATTTATAGCAAACCCTGCATCTCTAAAAATGGCGCTAGAAGATTGTGTTTGTTCACTCTGACCAGTCCACAGAAGCTCATCTGTTGGCCGAAGGGCTGGCTATCTACAAACCTCCCACTGCAGGAATGCAGGGAGTGGGCAGGTTGCACTTCAAGTGCCCTTGTGTTGAAGACGAGAGGCTTTGTTGCCCAGAAAGGGGTGAAAGAGACAGGAGCAAACAATACAATTCTTGATGTGCTCTTGTGGGATACAAACATGGGAGAGAGCCCAAAACAACGAGAAGTATGCAGATCACGATCAAGACGCCCACAGAGCAGCTTTGGCCCGACCACCACTTCCATTTGCCACAGAGAAGTCATTGTGAAAATGACTGTAGACCAACACTGTGTGTAGTTTAAACAGTTATTTCGCTGAAAAAGTCATAATTATTTTCAATTGAAATACAAGATGGCATGATTGATCTTCACAGATATTAAGTTGTGTCTACAAATCCATGAGGCCAATCTATCTAAATTGCCAAACAAATAGAAATCCCTGGATGAATACATCCATATTGTATTCATGTTGGTTGCATGTAGAGCATATTTAGTACTATACAGATTTTTACTTTTACCCCCATACAAATGATATTTTCAGCATAGCAATTTCAACACCCTGTGCTTTAGTGGAAGACATTTTGTCCAAAGAAACTCACATGCTCAATGTCACTAATGAATATAAATAAAATAAACTGTAAATAATTTTAAAACACTTTTATTCATTTTTATTTAAATTAATCTTTGATTAAAATGTCTAAAAAAATCGATATCCTATTATCCATAAATATAGTTCATGGAGAAAAATTGGAACTCCCTCTCTGTACTTATATTTGTTGCAGAGTTAACATTTCTGTGAGTTTTTGCCCATGCATGGCGGTGCCAAGTGTGAGGGCATGATATTGTTTTGACATAAAACAAATGGCAGCATTATGCTTATGTCCAGCATTGAGAGAGGATGCCAAGAGTTGATGGAATCATTGGCGGCCTATCACTGAGGCATTAGCATTGCTTTGTTTACTCGCCAGAAGGAACAATTAGGACAGGCCCCCGGCACACTGAGATCAGATATACCAAGGACAAAGTGCATAGAGTAGTTCTGCTTTGTTGTTGCTGCTGCTGAATATATTTTGAGACTAATCAAAGTTTATTCAAAAATGTTTAGTAAAATTTGTGCACATTAGTACACAACAACATCAACAAAATGCTTTTGTTTCATTTAAAAAAGAAGCTTTTTAAGGAACTTGTCTGTGATTCAAGTAATTAATCATGTCCAAAATCTCGCATTTAAGCTGTTGAGCATTCACAATAGTTATTCTTCATGACACCCCAGTACAGAGATGCAGGAGGGAAGAGGTTACCAGCGGACATGCGAGACATCAACACCTTCCGGTGGCCACATTGATGAAGGATTGTGTATCCGTTGCTAGAAATCAACAACACATGAGTGGCAGGCAGTGTGACATATGGCATGACATAAGAGTTTGTCTATGGGATGTGTACAGGACATAGAGGGTTGTGTTACAGATTTACAGCTTTACTGGGTGAGCCCTGTCCCTGAGTGCTGCCACAGACTTACACAATTGAGTCTTTGTAGCGTAATTCAAGCTGGTTTGTTCTTCACAGTTGTCATTCTGTGACTCAGAAACCCTTGATTTTTTTATTTTACATGTATGTTAATCACTCCTCTAATTGTGCCCTTATTTTTTTTATTTATTATCTTCTGTTAGATATTGCAGAAGGTACAGTGTGTGCCATATGCATTAATAGCTAAAAATACTTTTCAAACTTTTACAGTGTACAATCGCATTCTGTTTTCTGTACACAAATAGTTTGGTTCTAAACAGAATTTACCCATAAAAAAAATCAGATAGTGACAACCAAATGTTTAAAGGGGTCCTATTATGCCCTTTTACGAAGTCTTGTTTTGTTTTGGGGGTGTGCTAGAATATGTTTTCATGCTTGATTGTTCAAAAAACGCATAATTTTTCACATATTTTACATTATTACAGCTCGTCTGTCCCCAGTCTGGTCTAACGCATTGTTTTCGTTGAAGCCCCTCCTTCAGAAATACGAAATGTGCTGTGATGGGTTAGCTGGCCCAGTATGTTGTAATTGGCAGTGCTTTTCACGTGTTCGGGAAGTGTCATGGCCCTTCAAAACCGCGAGCTCTACTCAGATGTAAATATTAACGATGGCATCAATTTCAAACCATTTTGGCCCGATTCAGACCCTGACAATGTTAACGAACAAGAGGATTGTGCTGAACGGATTTCAAACACAGACTTTGCAAGCATGGATTTCACAGGACGTTTCAGAGTGGTACGTTGTTTTTTTGTCATTTTCTTATAGATACGATATTATCCACCATTTAATCATATTTGTCGGAAAACTGTGGTAATACAAACAGTAATCGATCACAAAATCATGGATAATTTTCCTAAGGGGCGGTGAACAGTCTTACAAAAGCAAGAGCTTACAAAAGCTAGTAAACACTACATCAATACTGTAATGTTAGTTAGCAGGCTAGCGGAAGGAAAGCTCTGCCCTTCGTTTACATCATAGCTATCATAGCAACTACATAAAGCTTATAATTGGCGTGGCGATATAGTTCAATGTATATGGAAGCCTGTTTCTGATTCAGCATTAAAAAAAACTAATTTGGAAGAAATTAAGTCACATTGTGAGATATGAAGTCTTAAATGTAAGAAATAAAATCAATTATGAGAAATAAAATTGCAGTTGTGAGAAAAATAGTCACAATTGTGAGTCATAAAGATACTTTTTTTATAGATATACTTTTTTCCATTTTGAAAAGGCGGAAACGGTGAAGAGGCATGAAGAGACGATAGTCTTTTCTTGCCTAATGTGATGTATGTTTAGTAGGGGTGTAACGGTACATGTATTTGTCCTGAACTGTACGGTACGGTACGGTACGATACGGACGTCACTGTTCAGTGCATGCAGTCGCAGAGCGAATACATTCAGTCACAGGCTAACCACACTCCAATCCATAAGGGGGCAATGCAACACTGTTTGCTACCAGTAAAAAGCACAGAAGAAGAGACGCTGATCGGTATGTTT